GCTCGCAGCCGCACATCATCTTCATCCTGGCCGACGATCAGGGCTTCAGGGACGTGGGGTACCACGGGTCCGAGATCCGCACGCCCACGCTGGACAAGCTGGCTGCCGAAGGGGTCAAGCTGGAGAACTACTATGTCCAGCCCATGTGTACACCATCCAGAAGCCAATTGATCACTGGAAAGTAAGTTTGCTACTGCTTCATCATTCACCTCTCCAGCCTATACGCTGTCCCTGTTGGAAAGAGCAGGGGTGAACCTGGCAGGTTCACGTCTGGGTTATCCTATGGGCAGAAGGTGCCTCTGTGGTTCCCTTAAAACCCTTGAATGGAACGGACTTGTGATAGGTTTGAAACAGAGAGATGAAGCTGTCACCGTGTGAGGCAGGAGAGTTCAGCACTGCGAGCTGCCTTGCACACTGCTGGAGCACGTTGGTGCTTACAGCATCACTGACAGACGTGCTGGTTGTCAAGTAACGTTGCTGTTGCTGGGAGCGAGCAGCTCCGCTTTGCTCCGTGATTTCCAGGGCACTCAGAGGAGGAGGAAATGCCAGCCTTTCGTTTTGTTCTCCTGTGTTCATTGCGGCTGAGTCACGGGTCTCACTGGCATTGTCTTCTTGTGGTATTTTCCAAGGGTTATCCTGCGTTTCTGAGCTAGTGTCCCAGTGAGTCTCATGTGGACGGGCACGGGGAGTTCAGCACCCTCTTAGCTGCAGCATGGCTCTTGTCACTTTGCAGACAATTACAAACTTTACTCCTAAGCCACTAAAATAGGTGCCTCTCCTAACTGGTGAGGGGTCTGGGTGGGTATCATGTGCTTTGCCTTAAAGTTGTGTTATACTGTGGTCTGCTAACAAAATAATTACCCAGCCTCAGGGCCTTCTTACATCAGAAGGTTAATGAGGATTAAGGACGGGAGTTTATGCATTTGAACTGTAGGAACAATTTCTAAATCTCCAAGTGTGGACGCATTTACTGTGGAACAAAACTTCCTTGTCTCTGTTTAGCTTAACTCCCTTCGACAGGAACAGGGAACTCCTAAAAGAGCAAAACAAAATGAGAGGAAAAAAGTTTATTTTCTCCTTTCCCGAAGTATAAACAGGAACAAGGCCGTGTTAATACTGCTGGTAAAAGAAACACATGTTAAATAAAACAAGCAACTGGCCTGGTGTCTCGCATCTCCATATGGTAGAGCTGGAGATAATTCCCAGTCTCGGTCTATTTCCCAGCCTTGCTGGACCAGGGAGATTTGCATGGAGAGCTGACACATTATCTAGAGCAAGGATTCCACACAGGTCTTTGTTTGGGTTTTATTTTTACTTCTTTGTGCAGACTGTGTCTCGGAAGTTACTTGGAGGCGCCTCCTCGCTCATTCACAAGAACAGAGTTGCCCTGAGGCCGCTAAAGCAGCAGCTCTCAAGGGAAACGGGTGCCAGGGCAGCCATCAGTGCACCTCGGCTCTCTTTAGAGGCACGCAGCCCTTGGAGGCCAGGAGCTCTGCCAGCAGCACGTAGGCAGCCAGCTTTCTGAGCTTTCTGAGCTTTCTGAGCTTTCTGAGCTTTCTGAGCTTTCTGAGCACGATGCCTTGGGAAGCAGCGCTTCACAAAGGCAGCGTCATGCCGCACAGCAATGACTCATGCAGCAGCTGCAGGAGTGGGATGACCGGGTTCCAGTGGAACCAGGGTGCTGCTCTGGCTCTTGGAGGCTGCAGAGATTGTCTAAACGTGAGAAAAGTACAAGTTCAGGATAACTGTTACTCAGCTTAACTATTTTGATCCTTCTTTAAATACAGTAAAAGGTAGGCATGTTCTGAGGAGCCCTGCTCTTTCACTGGCTTGCCAGGCAGAAATGGTTCTGCAAATCTGCCTGCTTTGGTTTTGGAAACTTTTACAGGAAAAAAGAAATTTGCTTATACTTTGTCTTTATTTTCTTAGTCTGCTGGTCTGAAGCCCTTATAGTATTTTTTTTTTTTTTGATCTTGATCTTGTTTTGATCTTATTTCTGTTAGGGAAAAAGGAGCTGTAGAGAGAGAACTGTTTCTCATGAGTGAGGAATCGGGGAGGGATTGGTGAGGGGTTGATAGGCTGGGTAGAGTACTCACAAGGCAGTTTCAGAGAATACTGTTTCCATTCTTGCTGCAGGTAAATGCTTTGTTGACTGCTTGTAATGCCTTCTTAGAGGAGGTGTCTTAATTAAAATGCCAGGATTTGGGCACTCCTAATCCAGGACAGGTGCTGGTATTTCCTGAGTTGTTAAATGTGTTAGTTCCAGGCTAAAGACCTGCTCATCTTCTGGAGGATCACTTGGATGCTCCATGCCTCCCAATACACATCCAGTGCTTAACATAGTACCAAAGAAGTTTAGGTCTGAAGGGACCTTTAAAAGTCCAGGCCCCTGCCATGGACATGGACAGCTTGAACTAGAGCATGTTCCAAACATAACCTGTTGGATCAGTCAAATCCAGAGGGACTTGTGTAAATCAGAGTCATGACTGACTCAGGTTGCCAAGTGGAAGTTAAATTGTGGAGAAGACTTTGAACAGCCCGAGTTCTTCACGGGTCTCCAGGCAGCCCCTCCATGGCCTGTGTTAGTAAAGAGACCCTTCTTTGGGTGGCTGTCCTGTGTGTGAGCTAGTGCAGGGCAGGAGGCTGGAGATGACCTGTTAGAAGGAAGAGGCAGAATTATTTTTCCCCCTGTGCTGTACCACAGAGTGGCAGCGGGTGAGTTTGTCATCCTGACCACTTCTGAGTCTGTCTGCTCTCTCACACCCTGTGTGTGAGCCTTTGGCTGCTTTCATTCCTTGCTTTCCCACAGTATTGTCACTTTCCCCATTCACTCCATCCAGAACTATTGCTTTTTGGCCATTAGTGGGGCTGGCTTCCACAGCTGATTATTTTGGGCTGTACTTGTGGGTGTGTGGGGGGGTTGCAGCTGAGCCGAGCCTCAGGAATGAAGAAGGGCGTGAGCAGTGGGCTGAGGGCCAGGGTGATGTGCAGGGGCTGTGAGGGGCCGTGAGGGAGCAGCTCTGCACAGCTGGGGTGGCAGCAGGGCCTGGGTGACAGGGTGTGCTCTGGGCCCTGCCCGGCCTCTCCCACCTCCTGCAGCTGCACTGAACCTGTGGCTGTCCACGGCCTTGGCTGTGAGTGACATAAATTGTCTCCAGATGAGTTGTTTTGTGTGGTACAGTATTTTTTGTGCTTGTTTCCTTCTTGAAAGTATCAGGCATGCCTCAAAACCTAAATAATTTGAGCAGAATGGGGTACCTGGCTGAAAGCCTATAAGCTTAGAGAAACATGTCTTGGGGTAGCTGTCCCAGTTCTGTGCAGCAGGCATTATGCAATGCAGGGGTATTTGCTGGAACAGTATCTAATTTAGCAAAGGAATCTGACAATTAATACTGACTGATAAGGAGGAATCTAGACATAATATGCTGTAAATGCTTTTGGCTTGATTTAGATACCTGCTTCCTCCTCTAGGCTGCTGGTTTTCTGCTGACCATCAGACTGGTAGCCTGGGGAACGTGGTGTGCACTGGAATCCATCTGGGCCACAGGAAGGTTCCTCATCTATTCAGGAATAGGGATCTCTCTTTGTAGAATCTGATGCACAGCTGGGGTTACAGATCAGTGAGAATCTGAAATCCTTTTCTGAGTCATGGAAGCCCTGCACTAATCTCCGGAATGAGCTTTGCACTGTGGATGGAATGCAGAGAGGGAAGATGTTGGGAAATGCTGAAAGTCTGGGGAAATAAATCTTTTTTTTTTCCCTGGGATAAAATGGAATATTGAGAATTTGCTCATCCAAAGCAGACAGAAATAGACTCTGTAATCAGTAAGCATAATCTGAGTGTTATTGTAATACAAGTAATTATATCTCTTATCTAATTCAGAAATGTCACACATTTATAAACATATGTATATATAGCTATGTGTGTTAGGCATATGGCTCTAGGCATCCCTGTGTAGTGATACCTAGTTCAGCATAAAAAATGACAATCTTTGAGCAAACTTATAATAAGACTTATTTTGGCAAACAGGAGTGGGCTCAGTACTTTGAGTTGCAGGCAGCGTAGCTGATTCAAGGCAAGCAGAGATCCTTTACTCTGAGGCTGTGAGTTGTTGGTCATCCTCCTCCCTCCCTGCTCCTGGGTGTATCCTGACCCAGACTGCAGTTCCAGCAGGGTGCTGCTCTGGGAAGGAGCCAGCACAGCAGTGTGGGACTGGGAATTACCTGCTGTGCTCTGAGTGCAGGGAAGGGTCCTGGAGCCTTGGCGGGGTCCTGGGAAGCATATCCAACACTCCATTAGAAACAAAACATCAGGGCTGCAGAATATCAGCCTGAAGTAGCAGGAGGTGACCTGATACTTCATCTGCTCTGGGGTAAAGGGACTTGGCAGTCAGCGCTCCCGAGCTTCATTCTGATCAGGGTTTCCATTAAGAACTGAGATGATGAAATAAAACGTTGTGATTAAATGGGCTGGTGAGAGAGGAGGGCCTGCCAGCATTGAGGGACTGTAGTGATACTGAAAATCATCTTGACAAATTAGAGACATAGTCTGAAATAAAACAAAATTAAAGCCAGCAGTGATAAATAGAAGATACTCTGCTGAATTCCTGAAGCAGGAAGAAATGTAACGTGCTGAGAATGGTGATCAGTTCCTTAGACAGCATTCCTTTAGAAAAGCAGCTGAATTACAGTGCATCATGCACTGGGTGTGAGGTAGCAATGTCATGCTGTTACAAAAAAGGTGAACATCACATGAGTTTGTGAGAATGTGGGGCCTGGTAGGTTTGTGAGGAGCCCTTCTCCATGGCTGGAGCACTTTTGCCCAAACTTGGACATCATTCCCCAAGAGCAACATCTGTATCATTGGAGAGTGTCCAGAGAAGGGTGATCTGATATCTCAGGGAGATAACTTGGGGGGAAGGATCAGAGGAGATGGAGCTGTTTAGTCTAAAGGAGAGAAAAATGGCAAGGGATGTGGTAGGCCTCTGGTGTTTTAAGAGCTGTGTTCAGAAGGGGCATCGTGTGTGTTCAGTGTCATGCTGGGTGGTACAAGAAATGAGGAGCTTTCTGGAGCAGGAAAACTTCAGGTCAGATCAGAGGGAGAACCTGCAATGCAGAGATTGTGAAAGCCTGGAATAGCTGGCTTTGAGAAATTGCTGGGTTTCTCCAGCAGCAGTCATT